CCTATCCCCTCGTGTGCCTTGCCTCCCACGTACTAGTGTTCAATTTTATAATTTATTGCATTTGAATATATTGTAACATATTTCATAATATACAAACATATGACATCGCATGTTGAGAATAAACTTCTTCAAAATTTTAAAATTCAAACCATGCACAATTTAAAAAGTCTAATAGGATATGTATTAGTAATAGTCTCCAACTGTCTATATTCCATAATAAGTGAAATGGAAAGTATAGAATGAGACCATTTACCTTTCATACATGGTGGTCACATTAATCTTGACCATTGGATGTGAAATTGGGTGCCGGCAATTATTCCATTGATCGAGCTCAAACTTCAAAAGAAATTTCTTGAACTTTTTGACACATCCAAGCTATCAAATTTCACATCAAAGGGTTGTAAGGAATTGTGACCACTTTGTATAAAAGGTAAATGGTCTCATTGTATACAATCCCTAAGTGGAAAAGTTTAGGAAGCTTCTTCAAACCACAAAAATACTTTTGATTCTCAGAAATAGGCATATTCCATAATAAGTGGAAAAGTTTAGGAAGCTACTTCAAACCACAAAAAATATTTTTGATTCTTAGAAATAGGTATAGCTAAGAGACTGAGGTTTATGGAATTATTCTTTTAACTTTGGGGGTTGAAAATATCCTCCATAACCTATTTAAACCTTTTTGAGGTCAAAATTAACTCTTTTGCCATTTTGGGTATCTTAAAATAAAATAAAAAAAACGTCCTTGGGCGTCCACTTAGGCACCAGCCTGGCCTGCTTGGGTGCCTGCCCAGGTGTGTCCATCCAGAACGGGTCACCTAGGCCTAGGCGTGCGGTGCACAGGATCTTGGGTGCCTAGGCGCCAACCAGGCAGACCGTTTTTTGAAACATTGAATTTGAGAGCAATGACTCATTTATTTACTTGAGGCCTTCTCATGGATAAGTCTTTTACTAAAGATATTTAGATCTTACATTGTGAAATTTTTTAAACATATAATTAGATTTAGATAGTAATGCAATCCAAATGAGTTGCAAATCATTTGCAAGTTCTGGTTTTCCTTACATATTCTCTGTCATTTCACTTAAACCAAAAAAAGAAGAAGAAAAAATCAAAGCATGAAGAAGGTCGAGCAAATAAATTTAGAAATAGAGAAAAATAAACATAGAGAGCAAAAAGTCACCCTTACTCAAAAAGAAAGAAAGATAGAGAGTGATGTGAGGGAGAGATCATTCTTGCGTGTGCATTTTTAAAAAACTGTAGTTTTAGATCCTATAATCATTTGTAACAAATGTGGAACTCACCATGTCCTTTTCTGAATGCCATTGTGGGGGCATTGCATTTAAGAATTGTTTTCCCTACGATAAATTTACAAAACATGGATTTGAATAATTTTTTGCCTTTTTTCATCAATATGCAATTATTTATTTCTTTTTATAATGGATATGCATTTCTTACTTTCTTTTTGTAATTGAATTTATTGCTTCTTTTTTTAAAACAAAGAATATGAGTGTGTTAGTCAGTTGACTGGCTACTATTTGCTTGGGATCATGCTTCACAAAATGGGATTTTGCTTGTGTTCTTGTCACCCATATTAGGAAATCCTGGTAAATAAACTTTTCTATTGCTATTTGAATTTGAATTTAATTTTATTTTACTTTTTGTGTTTCCAATCCGGGTGCAATGCTTAATCAAACAAACAATTAAACAATTAATTGCAAATATCCATAATTGTTTTTATCAAAATAGAACTAAAGTTGAATCTCTGGCTCACATTAAAAGAAATGTTGTACCCTAAACCCTAAAGTTATAGATTATTTTCCATAATCATTTTTAAGGTCTTGTTGATAATCGTTATCATCATCATCGCTATCCTCACTGCCTGTGTTTTATAGACATCAAAGTAGGTGTTTTTGTCCAACTTGTATTGGCTGTGTTTGACTTTGCAGCCAAGAAACTGCCTATCATCATGACAAGTTTGTACTATAAATTCAATATTAAAAAATGGAAAATGACTATGTAGGATTAGGTTTTGCAAGATCCATATGACCAAATAGGTTTGCTCTATAATTATACAATAATGTATATTTAAAAGTCACTATATGATTGCTTTAGCACATATGTACATAGACTATAACTTTGCTTTGTAGGTTATTCGCATATAATAAATGCATGAGATACCTTAGGAATGACAATATGCCATATATAATTGCATATGCTATATTATACAAGCATAGTTGTTGGACGCGGGAGTTGGAATAAGGGATTGTCACATGCAAGGAGCTCCCTAGGTCGGAAGCCAATTCTGTACAATTATTTAATTTATAAAATAAATTCTAAAAATGTAATAAATAATAATCATATATTCCTTAGTGGTGTAGTTTATGTAACAGTAATATCACAAAATGCAATAAGAAAAATGTTATGGTGAAGCAAGTATAGGTAATAGATAACAATGCAAGGGAGCTAAATCTTTATTCATAAAATCTGATTTAATTATAATTTCACACTTTACAACCTCTAAAAGCATATTAGGCTTCATTGACAATTTTACACATTACAACCTCTAAATCATGATAGAGAGAGCATGGTCGCAGCTAAGATCTAAAAGAATCTTCTTAGCCTTGCTTGCCGATTTGAGAGCGATCCCTAAAAGGCAGGGATTGATATCCCGAAATTTAAAAATTGCAAGCCCTTGGAGATCTTATTCTGGAACGATGGAGTGAGTTCTTGGAGTAGGATTGACAACATGGTTGGGAGATCCCGGGCACTGTGATATAAGGTGCTCATACATGTAAATCAAGGATAAAAATCACAAATAGAGTATCTTGCCTACAATTGTAGCAAAGCACTCTAAGGCGGCCATTAGGGCAGGCAATGGACGGGGTGGTTCGGTGCAGTCTTTTTTCTTGGTTTTCCTTTTATTTTCTTTCCCTTGCTTGTGGCCCATCCTGACCCCGATAGAGGTCAATGCCTCTTTGGCCTGGTCTGGGCTGGGCCTGGTCCTATGGGGACAAGGGCAGGGCTAGAGCAGGCCCGACCTGTTGCCAGGCCGAGCGGCCCTAGGGGTATGATCCCATCTACATGCAATCGTGAGATCACTGTCATAATAACTAAGTTGCCATTTGAGAGCAAAGCTTTTGAAAAGTAGTATGTAAACTACTTACTAAATAGATTATAATTTGAATTTTGAAGAGGAATCTTTCACTTAACTAATCTAAACTTTCAAAAGAAATCTGTTACCTAAATAGTTTGGAAATCTAGATAAGGCAATTAGGTGGAACTTGTTTAAAATAAAAAAGATTCTATATTGGATACATTAGCTAGAACAACTTATGTGAATGTTCTTAGGCTTGAAAGTTGTTTTGTTTTATATATATTACCAAACTGCAACACTGAAAGGGTTCTGAATATTTTAAATTCAAAGGGATCTTGTTTAAAAGGAGTCCTAATATTTAATATTCAAATAGCAACTTACTTAGAAAGGGATTTTAATATTTAGAACCATTCAAGTCTTGAACTTGGTTGGTTCCTTGCTTGGGTGTGATCAAACTTGATTTTGATGGCTGAGTGGCGCTATGCCAACTAGGTAGAAGCCCGAGCACTTTTCAATGGCATTCACCTTTTTTACTTCGAATGAGGTTCCCTTATAGTGGCAGGTGATTCTCTGTATCGCAAAGGAATGCTCATATCGAGGGTGACTAGCATGCATCTTTTGGTGAAATTGTGTGCATTCTGGGCATGATTTTGCACCAATTATATTTACATACTTGGTGTGAGTCTGTTGTGCCAAAAGATTATTTAGCTAGAGAGGGCACCTTGAGAGGTAATTTAGTTATTGCTCCTGATGTACAAAGTTTCTTCTCTTGTGCTTCTTTTGTATTCTTTCTCACATCTCTTCACTTTTCTATACTACTCATTGTTTTTATTAGTTACACAATTTTGTTCATGTATATTATGAATTAAAGTACTTGCCATTTAAAAGAAAGTGCTTTTATAAATTTAAAGAAATTTGAAAGTTGCTTGTTATGAATGTCATATGGATTCTAAAGTAAAATATTCATTTATAAAAATTTTAATATATTTCTGCTTTTAATTTGCATGATTTTAATTTATATTAAGTGAAATAAAAAAGTAAGGGTTTACTATACTATTTACAAGTATTGTCTGGGGTGCTCACATTGGTATTCCACTGCCCCATCTTATTAACACATGGCAATGGACTGTTGTCCTGCTGGTTAAGTCCCATCAAGGAACAACAGCTTATCTCCACAAACATGCGACAAGTATGGACATTGGATGGTTGGTTAGAGTAACCCACATTATACTTGTTGCAAGTATAATATCTGTTCATGGAAAGTATTTGGGGCAGATTCAGATGCTCACTTTTATAGCATTCGACCCAAAATTGTGGGTGCACGAATCAGTTTTTCCACAATATTGTTACGCATGTTTAATTGAATAATAAAAGATATAGTGGATGAATAGTTAAACAAATTGAGTGGCTGATTCTGCTCTAAGTTAATATACAATAATTATATATTGAACTCTTTATAAAATTCTGATCTTGATACTGATCAACTGTGACTAAAGCTGTGTTATGGAAATAAGTTGGGAAGTACAAAGGGTACCTGTTTCTGTTTAAATGTGTTCATTCATCATGTAATTCACCTTAAGAAAGGAAGACATTAAAGGCAAGCTTATTTTGGAAAGAAAGGCTTAAGTTACGTGGGATATAATGGTAAAGTACCTTATGAAAAGGAAGACATTCAATCTGTTTCTTATTTTTTGTTGTTTTCTTTTGTAGATCTTGTGATGTATATCTTGATATAATTTAATAATTTTGTAATTAAATTTTGATACTTTTAATTTTACTTACTAGCTTTTTCAATTAGCCCACATATGTTTATATGTACATACACACATACTCACACGTACATGCATTCCCATACTAGGGAGCTTTTGGTAAGAGACAGTCCCTTGCTTCCACTCCCATTCTCATTGGCCAAGGTTCAGTCACAAGTCTTTATGAATTATGGCTTTTGCTGATTCCTATTCTATCTACGATATAAATGATATTGTTATAAGTTGTCAAGGAGTAATCAACCATAAGTCAGAATATATTCTATAGGGTAATGATACTTTGCTTCCTTTTGTTGAAGATTTCTCAAAGGATAACTTTATGACACACCCATTCACTGGTGAATATCTCATTTCTTCCCTTGCTTTGTATTCTTATCCATGGATAGTTGTGATGTTGACGTGTTGAAGAAAACTATTACATTTGTGCTGTCACCTTGTGAAGTTTTATCTCCTCTAATTCAATCATTGGTTTCCCTTTGTTTTCACCTTACAAAGTAATATATTCAGCTTCTGCAACAATTCTTAGAATCGATGGCCTTTTCCTTTCTTAATGAACCCTTGTGAGTCAAAGCTCATTAAGAAAGATCCTCTTTCTATCCTTTTGGAGTGATTCACAGCCAATATTAGCTCCAACAGAAAATTAGTTTTGAATCGCCTATTGCTTGCAAAATGTGAGTCTTAAAAATCTCTGTCTTTCTAAGAGTTTCAGACTAATCCTTTTGTCTTTTTTGTTTATTGAATTAAAGCCTTCAAGTACCATGTGTTAGCACCTTAAATCTCATAAAGGATCTACAGGTACCTAAGTACCTATTTGTATTCTCTCTCTCCACTAATGGCTTTCTAGTATATTACTGAATAAGTGAATGAAAGGCAGTCTCTAAATGCAAGGAGCTTGCACTTCCTTTTCGTTAACTAATTAAAGAACTCGTGTTATTTGAGCTTTGCTGCTTGTAATTTTCATTAATTTGTTTATTTGAATATCTGAATTATCAAATTTTTGTCTTTCACGATGAAATTCCTACATATTATTCTAGAAATATAGCAGATTTACTTATTATAGGTTGATCTATATTTGTATTTAAGAATATATTCCCTTTCACATACTAGTCATTTTCTAAAAATGCACAGTTTAATGTCTATAGTCATGTTCTGACCTATGATTTCTTGGACAAGAAAATTAAAGTAACTTAGACTAGGCTTGTTTCTAGCCCACGGTATGCAAGGTGTAAGATCATTGGCTTTGTGAGTTACATGGTAGAAAGTTGGCTTTGCACAGTTTGCCTTTTGTGAATTTCATAAATGCATCGCACATACAATCTCTATCCAGTGTATGTGCATATTTTCTGCATGGTTGCATGGAGAATACTCATTGTGCATGTGCATTGCCATGAGCTTGCTCTGGTCAAAGATATGAGGCCACACGGATATAGGACCTTGTGTAACGGGAATTCCTCTTTTCTGCTTGATTGACAGTATGGCAGCGATCCTGCTTCTTGGTTCCAAAAACAAATCCGCCTGAATGAGGAGGTTCTCATTGATCACGTAACAAAAGAAATGAATGGGTTGAATTTTATCAGATGCCAAAAGATTCCCAAGCGACCGGGGGCTGATTGGCGTGATCTTCCTGATGAGAAGGTAATGATGTTAGCTTTGTCATGAACTACTCCCTATCTATCTGTATGTGCATGTTTATGTATATTTAATTCATTTGCTTTCAAATTACAGGTGAAGCTGTCCAATGGGCAATTGGTGGATCTGATACCTTGGTGTCTACCCAACACTTCAGAGAGACATAACCAGTGGAAGGGGCTGTTTGGGAGGCTGGACTGGCAGGGCAACTTCCCGACTTCCATTACTGATCCACAGCCCATGGGCAAGGTTGGGATGTGCTTCCATCCTGACCAGGACAGAATACTTACAGTTCGTGAGTGCGCTCGCTCTCAGGTATAATTATAACTTCATTTTACTCCCTTCTTGATTCAAGGGAGAATTGGAAAAAATGCTTTGGTGTCAAAGGCAGAGCTCTTCTACTGTTTGGGTGCACACCTTGGTGCCTTTTAGGCTCTATCCCAGCACCTTTTAATCAGCTTAGCACCACTTTTCTACCCAATTTTAGGTGCCTCTTTGCGGTGTTAAAATTTAATGTGATGAAACATGTTACATTCTTTTAGAAAAGGTTGTAGTTTCCCACTTTCTCCATTTTGCTATTGCATGCTTTTTTATAGATTCAACCATCTAAATTGTGAAAGATGCTTCTCTCTTTGTTATGCAATCTTATTTGGCTGACCTTGCAGTATGATTTGGGTATGTAGGGCTTCCCGGACAGCTACAGATTCTGTGGGAACATTCATAACAAGTATCGACAAATAGGGAATGCAGTGCCGCCACCTCTAGCAATGGTGCTTGGGAGGAAACTCAAAGAAGCACTGGATGCCAAAGCACGGACCTTCGATGAACCAAGAAACCTGAACATGTCTACCATTTGAGAGCAAGATTATATGTTAGCATTAAATTATTGGAGAAAAGAAATCCATTAATATTTTATATACTTGTCTTTTTTCTCTTGCCATGAAATGGCAAAAGTGGAGTTGTATTTGGGATGCAGAACCCTTATGTTTTATATGGAAAAGGATGTGTGTAATCAGTGGCATTCTAAGTAAATATCGTGGAGGGTGCATCTTGAGTTTGTGTTCTGCTGGCTCTTTTCTCTGGGGAGGAAATAAGCCCATAATCATAGATGGTCCTGACTTTATATCTAAGATGCCGGACTTCAAAAATTGACAAGACTGCCTTCTGCTTTACAGGCTTTCGAACAGCGTTTACATGTTGAAATTTGAATATTTAGGCATATGTATTCTTAAGTCTTCTGCCTGAATTCAACTCATAAAAATGAATGGGTTTGCAATTAGAAGAATCTCAATAAGAACAGCACGGCTACTGAATAAGAATATTGGGGAAAAGTTCAGCGGCTATCTGGCAAAAGCATCAGCACGTACAACATTTATTTCTTATAAAACTAATGACATTTACAATTATTAAAACCAATAGAATCAATTTCCTTGGAGGCCAAAATTGGTCGATTTGAAGTTCCATTGTATTCTTGCACAATAGGGTGTTATCATGGTCTAAGTATTTGCAAAATGTCGCTCATCTCTAAAATATTGATGCCCACATCAGTTTCCTTAGCATGTTCTATTTTAATGTATTTGTGGTTATTTTATGGGAGGTGGGTGTCAGATCTTTCCTATTAAGTCCTAATAATCATAGTTATCTTTCCCACCAATCCTAATAATTGCCAGTTTTGCTGGTTCTCTTGGATGATCTGGTCCAATCTTTCCCCCACCTGTCTTGGTATTTTTTGGCCTGATTTTTTTCATTTTTTTTCTCTTTTTTATTTTGATTGCACATGATATTTTATTTCCAAAATCTTTAAACCAAAAGATCTCAAGATTTTGGCACAAATCGTCAACCTAAATGGTTAAAACATTGTAATTTGCTAATAAAATCCTCCCACATTTAATTTTTTGCACAAGTTGGAATTTTTTACAATTATTTATGGAAATATCTCCTATTTTTAACCAAGTTTTCAATAGTTTTTCTTGTTTTTATTGAATTCTTGAAATTTAGTCAATTTTTTAATATTATATATATATAAAAGGTTTGACCGGACAGACCACTGGTTGGACCAATTCTAATTGGACCAATCCCTTCACCAGTTCAAGCACCGGCATGATCCTGGTAACACTTCTAATAATAAATAAACCAATCTTCTCTAGGCGATTTTGGAGGCATAGATCCATGGAGCCCAAGAGCAGCACACAAGACAAGAATAAGCAAATTTTGGAAGAAAGGTGGGGCTAGTGATGGGATTGAGTCACAATGGTGATTAAAATATCAAAATATAGAAACCAGTGAAATACACAAAATCATATTCCTGTACAGGTGCTTATAGCCCCTATTTTGAGGGCTCTTAAATAGTTTTATAGAAGCTCTTACAGACCTTGGGTCATCCCCCAATTATGATAGTTGGATAAATATATAGATTGCCTTTGCAACGTAAGACATTTACAACTTGCCGCATTCGAGCACCATTTGCCATACAGCTACAAAACTGAACCACAACATACTCACTACACAAGGAGGGATCCTGGACTTAATAATAATACAGCCCATGCTGCTCAGCCTTTCCTTCTAGTTCTATTTTCCTGAGAGCTGGGAAGAGACAGATATACAGATATCTCAATCATAGGTTCTCATTTGACATCCGGTTGGACCAAATGATCTCTATCTCGAGCGTCCTCGATGATCCATCTCGGTTTCCATCATGATTAAGACTGAAAAATCCACTATATATCCCCTCTGTAACCACTTTGTCTATTTGAATTGTTACCCTCCCAAGAGTTGTCTGTCAAAATAGAAGCACAACAGACTCAAAGGTAAGGACTTTTCAAGGAAACCATGATGAGAGAAAAAGCCATAAATGAGCAATGTACCTTCCCAAATGTATTCTTGCTTTTGCAGAGGATATGTAGTTTTTGACCTTTTGGTGGCACATCGAATGCCCAAGTGAATCCCTCCTTCCACTCCGGACAGGTACTGTGGCTTACAACCTAATGAGAGTGTCATGATTCAATACTTGAGATAGCTATTCTGTGTTATATCTTCATCTCTCAAAGCAGAACATTTTAAAATCCCGCAATTCTGGCTTTTGGGTATTCTGTGTTCGATCTTCATCACTGAGTGGATAATGTTTTAAATCTCACCATTCTGGCTTTTTTGTTTCAAATCAATATATACATATATATATAATATGGTGCAGTTGGCATACGGACGCCTCCGTAGGTGTAGAGGTACGGTGCCCTTCAAACTTTATCATGGTATATAATTTTGATGTAAAAGGTTATTAGGATGATCTCAAAATCTATTTTATATCTAATTATAAAATTTCAAATTTCAAAAATGGTTAAAATCAAGTAGATCTATAAACATATGAAAATCTTGAAAATGGACGGTGCAGATAATATGTTGTAAAATGTACTATTTCTGAGACTTAAAATCTTTTTATTTTTCATAGCTGAGATGATCAATCAAAGGATTTTTCAACATTAAAACTACATTT